TTCATATATTTCAAGAAAGTGCTCTTGGTAATTCCCAAATTATATCTATATATATATATTCCTATACAAGAAAACCGAGACATTCCTACTAGCGAAGGAAGGTAGTCGGAACCGGGCTTCATAGGGTGGATACGATTAGAGGGAATACACTTGGATTCCTAAAGCGAGTAATCTCAAGTCATTGAAGTTACAACTGGGAACCGATTCCCACAATCCACATCTTTGTTGAAGGAGTTCAAGACACTCGGTAAATATTTCGTACTAGTATTTACTTTATTATAACACATCAAAATTTGTATATGATGCATGTTTTAAAGATGACGATCAATTAATTGGAAGTTAGTATGTACGGGTGTTGTATTTATTCGATAAATACTTAATTAAAAATTTTAAATTCTGCTGCGTACAGCCCGTACGGTACTAGCGAACCCAACAGTAATTACATCGTAGGGTAGGAAGAGAGAGTTTTCATTGTAAATCCTAGTAGTAATAGGCCAAACAATTACTTTAATGAAAGATTTCCAAAGGGAGAGCGGGATGCTCTCCTGAAGGTCTAATTATTGTTTGAACTGCTTCAGCATTTAAGTGAATGTTCATTGTTTACTTCATACCCCCAAAATTTCAATTGGCACCAGAGCGAGTTTTAGTTAGTTTATTCGAAGATCTTTTAGATCTGCATACGAGAAACCATGAATCTTGATAGCGAATCTATGCCAAGACCACCACAACTACATAGCTCGAGTTACTCTTACATGAAATTGATGATGACCATTTCCTGGGTTCACTTGGTAAAGGTACTTGGGAAAGAGTAGAGAACGGGTGGACATATCCACTTACAAGAAAATCCCCAGGCAATGGGATTCAGACTCAAATTGAAGAAGTATTTAAAGCAAGGGATGTGTAGACTGATCTCGAAAGGATGTAGAAAGAGGCGAGTTTCCAAGCCTTCTACGCAATTCTGATGGTCGTTGATCAAACACGGCACAAGATGATAGTTTAATGCACGATAGGCAAATATGCATAGTGTATCTTTGAATGTTGGTGCAAAGGATCCAAATGTGTTAAATCTTCCAAACTTCAGTGTGTGACATTGGCCTTCGAAGATATCAAGATGAAGGAGAATGGAACCAGTGATTTGTACTACTCAAGATTCAGTAATCTAGTGAATCAGAGTGCAATGCTTAGAGAAGATATTTCTGAAGCACGTCAAGTTCAAAAGATCATGATGACACTTCCAACAAGATTTCATGAAAAGATCACAGCTCTTGAAATCTTTCAAAGAGTCAAACCACTTGATCTTGATGACCTCATTGGTGATTGCAGAATGTCTGATATCAACATCAACTATGATAAGCTAAAAACAAAGATTTATCTTTGAAGGTTGTTGTTTCATCGCATGCAAAAGATAGTGACGGGAAGAAAGGTTCACTGGAGGAAGATACTGAATGCAAAGAAGCGTTTGCCTTGATTATCAGGAATTATGGCAAAATGAGACATAAGTTGTACAAAAGCAAGTTTGGTGGAAAGAAATTCAATAACACTAATAACTCCAACAAAAGTTCCTCTCGAGACAAGCAAACCGACATATCTTCCTCAAAATTCGAAAGTCAAAAAGAGAGAAGGATCAATGCAGGGAGTGTAGAGTTTTTGGGCACTTTCAATTTTAATGTGCTTATTTGAAAAAGTATAATAAGTCCTTGAAGGCAATGTGGGATAACTCATATGAGGAAGAAACTGAAGAGCCTACATCTCACACCAACAACATGACAGTTCATTCATGAGACAAATTTCTTTGTCTTTCTTCAACCATTAATCAATCAGAATCTGATGAAGGTAAGAACTATTCTCAAACTCATGATTATGAGTCCGATGAATCGTGTGATGATGCAGATCTGAGCACATGTTTTGATCCGATGCACTTGATTGCCATGGGGAAAGGTAAGCAGACTACAACTGTGATGAAGAACCTTCGCAACCAGATCAATACTGACAAGACTCAAGTGCATCAAAATGACTCAAACGAAGAATGGAAGACCTCAAGAAGGAGGTTCGGAAAATGAGACAGAAATGGATCACTGAATAGTCACCTAACTTCTTCATTCTCTCATCAAAAGGAAGTTGAGCTTGATGCAACAAAAGCTCTAAATTCAATCCTTGAGAATGCCTTGAAAGTCCCAAAACAACAAACATTGAAAAATATCAACATATTTTAAGTGTTTTGAATGTTTTAAACATACATGTTTAATGTTCTTTTATACAAGATAATTTTATATTGTTTACAACAAACTGATATACATAAATTATATTATATGTTAACCTCAAATTATTAATTTATAATTATTATTTAATGTTATTTATCCACATTTTTCGTTTATCATTATTATTTAATATTATTTACTTTGGGCATCACCATACCAAAAAATGGGTGGAAAAAGAATATTGCATTCAATGAGTTGACCAGATATACATGCATGATTTTATATGTTGTGGTGAGAGTTGGTAAATGTAGGTTAGTGGAATCTATATATATATAAAGGTTTGATTATTTTTTAAATAGTAACTATTTCTCTCCAAAAAATATCTTTTTACTATTTCAAGAAAAATTAATTTAACAATTTATGTTATATTTCAAATAATCACCTATGGAAATTGCGGCTCGGAAATGATATAAGTCATAAAAAGAATCATTTTTAAGATACCTTAATTACTTAAATCATGTGGATTTGGCTGATTTACCTAAATATGGGAATTTCGGCTGCAATATCAATTATTTGATTTGGTAAAAATATTTCAACTAAACTGTGTAATTAATTATTTAATAAGTGTTTTATATTTTTCGTGTAATTCTTTTGTGAAATAAATTTTTAGTATACCTTAATTACGCAAATTTTGTAAATCTAAATGATTTGTTTAATCTGTAAATAATTACTAGAATTATGAAAATATCAGCTAAAAAATCAAATATGCAATTTGAAAAAAACTACTCTAAAAAAATTGTGTTAATGACGGTTTTTATTTAAATATTATTTAATAATTATTATTTATTTTTTGTGTATTTAATTTCTAAAATTATGGATAATTAAGAAAATAATTAGACCATAAAAAATTATATTTTTAAGATACCTTAATTACACAGTGGAGTAAATTTGGTTGATTTATTCGATCATAATTTGTTATAAAATTATTCCGAAATAATTGTATTAATGGCATCTTTATTTAATAACTGTTTTTTGGGTCTTTTTTATTTTTATCTACAAAAAACGTGGGTCTCGATTTGTTTTGTACGTTGGGAAATTAATTTTTTAGTAAAACTGAATATCATTATTTGTATTTTATCGATAAAGTATGAATCGAATTATTTGGTATATTATATATTAATCCAATATACCCGTTTATGGTAAAAAATGGTATCTCAATATATATTTTTTTTATATTGCTAAGCATTTTACTCATATAACGATATTAACCTTTACAACAAACATAGATTCGTTTCGTAACCCTACCCCCAAATTCTCGTCGGCGGTTCATCTCAAATTAACGCTCGATTGGCCTTCTTCGGCGACAGCGGGCCTCTGGCCAGGGGTCGTCATTGACCGCTCAACCCCTCTGGACGAAGTGCGCCTCCGATGTCGCTATGGAAGGGCTGCGATTGGCGGCCTAGTTCGAGGTTACGGACGGCGTTCTGGTCGATCGTGGCCTCATTCAGGGTCGGTGTTTGGCTGGCGACGGGAGTCTTCCCCTCACTTGCCGGTGGAGCTTCGATTTGTGACGATAAGCCCTCCAACTTCGCTTTGTCGGTAATTCTTGAATTCGGCCTTTTTCAGCGGGGCTCCGCCTCTTTTGGGTGGTGGGGCATGGGCCTCCGATTGGGTCCCTTATGGTGGTGTTGGGTGGAGTGCGAGTCCTCAGGGGGATGGGGCTTTGGTTGCTGCGGCTTTTTCAGTCGCGGTGGCCGGGGTTGAGGGACAGACCCACCTTCACCCTCCCCTGTTCGGCTAGTGGTGTTAGGCGGCGGGGGAACCTGAGCTCGGCTAGTGGTGTTAGACGAGTTCGGGTGGGCCGGTGTGGGGGTTGGTCGATTCTCTTTCGGTTGGAGATGGGTTGATTCGGGGCTCGGGTTCGGCTACTGTATAGGCTTTGGTGCAGTTTCGGTAGTGTTTTCTCTGGCTTGGAATCTTTCCTGTGTCGATCGTTCATCGTTGGTTGGAACCGTTCCTATGCCGTGGAAGGGCTATTTTGTTACTTTTGTTATTTGTTTTTAGTGTTTTCTTATGTCTGTGTCTGTATTTGTGATCGTTTTTGTGTTTTAGGTTTGGGTTGTTGGCCCCTGTGAGCCCGAGTGTCACCTTATTACCCCGTTGGGGCCCGACACTCGGGTATTACCCTGTTGGGGCATTTGTGTTGTTTTTTTGTGTTTTTAGTGCTATTGTGTTTATCCTGTTGGGGTCATATCCCGTCTATGGGATCTGTCTCTCTGTTTTTCTTTTTCGGCTGTGGGTCGCGTTTGTATTAGAACTATGTTCTCTTTTGAGGTTTGATATAATATTTCTTTCGTTCCGAAAAAAAAAAAAATATTTTACTCGATAATAATGAGAGAAAAATCAGGAGAATACTATTGTTTGTAAATGTGCGTAGAACATATCAAATTATTTCGTGTATATATATATATATATATATATATAAATGTTTGTATTTACTTAAATCACATTGTAGTCAAATCGAATTTCTGAATAAAAATTTTAAAATGACACCTATTTCGAAAAAAATATAATGTAATTTATTATTAGTTACTTGCACCGTACGGGTCGTGTACTAATTTTAAATAGACATATTTAATGTAATTTCGCACAATTTATATTTCATATAACATTTTCAACAAATTAATATAGGTAAGTTGTATTATTTATTGATTCCATATTTTTAATTTATATATATTATTTAATCAGCATTTTTAATTTATAACACGAAATTTGTACTAGTCCTCCTAAATACATATGAAATTTAAACCCTCCAATAAATAATAACGATCAACTGCCTATAACACGTGTGAGCCTGTCACACGTACGTCGATAATCCCTACACTCCCCTCGCAAGTCATCTCCACCGGAGATGGCGGCGCCGTGCGACGGAGGATCAGAACCTCACGCAGGTGGCGCGCCGTCGAAGTGCTCGTGCGGCTCGAACAACTGCGCGGAATGCGGTCGGAGGCGAATGTCGACCTCCAGCCTGCCATCATCGTCGTCCTCCTGTTCCCTGCTGAGCTTCGATTCGTATCCAGTTCAGGACTACGATAAGACATGGAGAGTTTTCACGGCCACTGTCAAAGGCTTCGCCATCGGTGCTGGACTTAAAGGTGGACTGGCCATCTTCGCTTTTCTCACCCGCCTTCGCCGCCGGCGATTACTACCGGCTTCCAAGTATATTTTCGAGCTTTGCTTGATATGTGGCCTATTTCCTCCTGATTACTGTATCTTCCTTGGTTAATCCGCTTCCTGATTGTGGAGATTAAAATTTTGCTTTGTTTTGTCACTTTAATCAGTATCTTTTATCTGCAATTAATTGTAGATATCGTCCTAAAACTCTGATTTTATGGCGTAATCTTAATTAGACTATGTAGCTGCGCCGTGAAATTGGTTTTAGATGGAATTGTAAATATTCACTAGGAATTTCTTAAAATTTTCTGCGAAGTACTTCAAGGCTGCGATTCCTTGAGTTCCGGATCCTAATGCTTAGTGCCGGAGAAGAAATAATGTATTAAATCGTAAACAAATATGTAGTCCATTCATAATCGAGTGAGTGTCGGTAATTTAATTAGTTCCGGTGCATATCATATCAGAGAAGCTGATAATCTTTCCCGTTCATCAAATGTTTATGACTTTATTTTCTTTTTCAGGAAAGTTGAAATGGCTTCAATCAGTGCAGATATGGCTTTGGCTTTGAAAGAGACTCTAAGATATGGATTATTTCTCGGTTCATTTGCTGGGACATTTGTGTCCGTGGATGAAATCATTGCTGCTTTGGGTGGTCACCGGAGGCATGATTTCACCTTTTCTTTTCTTCATCATTATCTATTATATTAACTACTCAGAAGTGTAACTTTATTGCTTAATAATTTGAAGTTTATTGTTCGAGCCAGATTCTTTATTGAATAATCTACATTTTAGCGGTTGAAATTTCATAAATTTTTAGGACTGCAAAGTGGAGAGCTTTGCTGGCGGGTGCGCTAGCCGGCCCATCAATGCTGCTGACTGGGTTGGATACTCAGCACACAAGTTTGGCAATTTACATTTTCATGCGTGCCACTGTATTGGCTTCGCGTTGTGGGATAAAAAGCAAGAAATTTGGTCATATATGTAAGCCTCTAACATGGGCACATGGAGATCTTTTCCTTATGTGTCTCTCCTCTTCTCAAATTCTGTAAGAGCCCTATTTCCCTTCAACTAAAGAATAATATATATTTTGACAAACATTATTGATTCTGTTATTCTTTTTCTTCAGTCATTAACTTGTCATTTTCTTGATCACTGAGGAAATCTACGTACAGTGGCAATACCTGCCAGTTAATATGTTTTAATCATTCACAAAAAGTAGATAAATATGACCTGATTCTGAAAATTTCGTTAAAACACACTTAAGATGCAACTGCAGGCTCATTCATTTGGTCTATTGAGATTCTTTATGAATTTTTGAAAGCTCGCCTGATAATATTAAGAAAATATGTATGTTTTGTTTTGGGCAATGATAGAAAACCAGTTACAAGTCAAACTATTTCTGTTTCGCTGTGTATACAAGCTGACGATGTAGTGGATAGACATTGTGTTTAAGTTTAACCTACTTGGAAATTTTATGGAAAAGTTTTACTCGTTTAGAAATTCATACTTGTTTCCTCTACAAACTGGATCAAGATTTGTGCTTTAAATATGAAACTATTTAATGTGTTCCAATTTTGGAATTTCACGCCAAATTTTGAAGCTTTCCTTTAGTTTTCTGAAAATAATATATTCATGCAGTGGTGAGAATTATTTGCAGATGGTATAATGTTCTATGATGCATAGACTGAAAGCGAATACAAATTTGAGTTAAATTATTGCATCTACTACTTCTTGCCAATCTTTGTATAGTTATCCATTTTATGGAATTTACGCCCTTAGACTTGATTCATTAATCTTTTGAAGTAGACGCATGATTGTAGCATACAAGAAGTGGCGTTCTGGTGAATGAACTTGGCTCAACTTTCTTACTTAATACTTAACAGTAATGGCGGCTTTATTTATGAGGAAAAACTTGGTCCAAGAAAGAGAGCTTATCAAGCATTAAGAAAATCTTGTATTGAATTTGCTGAAGATTTAGCCTTTTATGAATGTGCTGGTTGTAGTAAAAAATAAAAAAGGAGGTAACATATTAGGGTAGAAAGTGTAATGAGAATCCGAATCGGTTACATGGGTAAATCTGAGCTATCCATGTATTTTTCCTTTTTTATCATGGTGGATTATTTCACTAAAAGAACACCTGATTTTTATGTAAACTAGTCTCTGTGACATTAGTTTTGACATGAAGCTAATTGTATGCCAATGAAAATGTATGAAAGTCAGAAAGTTGTTCCGTTATATTCCATATTGACCTCAGGATATAATTTAATTGTCTTAGTGTTTGTTAAATCGTTTCTAGTCTTACAGTTGTGTAGGGGATATCCTATTTCAGGTCAGCTTACATATTGAAGCAAGATAGTTTGCCCTTATCATACAAGTCGTTTCTCAATAAACATGGGGCGAAGGATTCTGTCATCCTGAATGGTGTGAGAGAGATTGCATCTGGTTTGCCTGTCACTAAATTGGAAGCTATAGAAAAGTTCTATGAGTCCAATGGTGTCAATATTAAGTTAGATCCACAGATGAAAATACCATGCTCGGTATGTTAAGCTTGAATTTACATTTCTTATAAATGACTATGAAATCCTAACAACAGTGTGATACTTCTCTGTGTAACCTCTATATTTGGTTGTTTGATGCTTATATGACTTTGTTTACTGACTGGTGCATTATATTATGTGAACTCATAACTGATTATACTTATGATAGAGAATATTCCTCCAAGCGGATGTCAGAAAGAATCAATTATTATGTGTTTGAGTATCAATGTCTGCTTCTTTGACCAGTGTTGAGAGTTAACTTTCTGATAGAGATTTTCAGAAAGAGGAATAAAATTATATGCAGATCATATTGACGCTGATATTAATGGCCTGATGCAGAGTATTTCACGTCTTTATTATGTTTATGTAATTATTAGTATTGGCAGAGCGCGTGTGGAAATCAGTTTTTATATATTCCCTTTTTGGGAAGTTGTAGATGGCGAGGAGTAGGTTCTGTGCGATGCGAAAATGAGTTTGTAAGAATTTGACAAATGATCATCATGTTTTGTTTTGATTGGTTTTGCATATGGTAATTCCGCATGCAGGGCTGAACCTTACAATTTTTTAAATGCATAAAAAGTGCTGGGCTCCTCTGTTTCTGCTTTTGAAAAACTCACTATCCTAGGCTTACTTCAAAACATGTATTATCATTATTCCAAAATACAATGCAAAAACGATCACCATCTTTCAATTGCCAAGACGAGTTTTCAAAAAATTGACAAATGATCATCATGTTGTGTTTTGATTGATTTTGAATATTGTAATTCAACATCATTGCAGGACTGAACGTCACACTCACACACACACACACACACACACACACACACATATTAATCCTTTAGTTTTTATTACAACCTTATTTCCAAAATACACCGCACTAACCATATGCAAAAAAGCAAACAAATCTAAATTCCTCATTACATTACATTCATCAAAAAAGCAAACAAATCCAAAAAAACAGATGTTCCGCCTTTTGTTTTCCTTGAATGAAAAATTTTGAATTTTGTTATAACAAAACCAGAAAGGCACTGTGTAAACCTAAGAATCAAAGAAATGAAAAGGCTTGGGGAAGGATATGTAGTGTCTTGCTTTTTGTAACAAAACAATGTTAAAATCAAATCTTAACATACCCCAACTTGCAGAAACTGTTATGATATGTCGTTTACTAGGACATATCATATGACAACTTATTTTTTATTTGCATTATGTGTTAACCACTTCTGCTGCTTGGTATCGAGATCTTTGACAATGTCCCAAATCAGAGCACAGATTAAGTTTGTATAACAGGTGTTTCTCATGAGGAAATTTATAATATACATCTTAGCGAACTATCTTTCGTCTGTGCAGATAATTCATGGGAATCAAGGATGTGTTACACATTTTTTAACCTTTCTCCTTCAAGCTTATAAAAGAGCATTACCAGTTTATCTTCCTGTCTATTTAATTCCTGCCCTCATCGTACATCGTCAAGGTCTCTTGAAGAGGTAATTGACCTTGATGTTATAGATATTTCTCCTTGTGTGATACATGTTCTATATAGAATAGTCAGTCACTGTGGGGGTATATTCTGTGAGTTATGTTCCATAGTATCCAGTGAATCGTCAAATAAAGGGGCAACATTTAGGTTGGATTGGCAAAAGTCCTACTCGTTCATTTGAAGAATTATCTAACTAAAATCATAACTAGAAAATTGCCAAGTATCTACTAAAATTTGCAATGACAAACTAAGCCTAAAAATTCGAAATTATTCCCGTAGTTTCCGGAATAATGAAACTTTACTGATAGTAGGTAATCTGATTCGTTGATAAAAAAAATTACTTGATGTGGCATCATTTCACAGCTTTTAAAAATATTACTTGCATTGCTTTTCCATCCATTCCTATATCCTGCCCCTACCTCAATGGATGTTGTCCCAACTTACATGGGACCCTTTCTAATATTTCCCTGGCTACCAAATTTGGCCTCCGCGTAAGTTTGATACCCTCTGTAATAAGAGGAAACATTTTGGTAATTACTCAATTTATATTGGTAAATTTTAAAGTTGGTAATGCTTACTGCACGGTTTCCCTTCCTTCCATTTGCTGTTTTTCTATTGTATTATAATGTGGGTTTTCCCCTGGTCATTGAATGTCATGATGTCTTTTAGACCAGTGCTATTCTATTTTTTATCCTGGTAAATCCATGGCATTCGCTTGTGCTTTCATCTGTCAATGCCACTTATTAGATTCTGGGGATACTATTTTAGGTATTAATGATACTAGTAGCTCTGTTCAATCTATTTCAGGCCTTACACAATTTTATGGAAAGGTCTGTTTGGTACCGTAAGGTCAAGCTTGTTCCTCTCAACGTATTGTTCATCTGCTTGGTAAGCAATATTTGTAAGATTTTAAGTTAATCTTATGTGTTTCATATGCCCAATATTTTGGTTTCTCTTATATACCCCTGCAAAACTGATTCCAAGCTCTTCAGTCTTGAATATTCACTCCTACTCACCTATATATGCCCATCTCTGTGAATATACTATTATGTGAGTTTGGAGTGACTTATCTAAAAGGAACTCGTGTCTACCGGTGAATGGTGATTGAGCGAGCATGTGACTAAGTATTTCAGACTCAGTGGGAACTAAATGTTGCCTCATTCCAGGATTTAACTTGGACAATGGTAGAGTACTGAGACATTGCAGGAGTGGGGATGTTATATTTATAATTTATGTTCAATGTTTTTTTTTTTTCTTTTTTTTTTCTGGGAATAAAATGACTGGAAACAATCCTTTTTACATAAGGTTCAACTCCTCAAGGAAACTGAGGGTGCCAAATCGTACATAAGAAATTTGTTGCATGTAAGATTTCATCTGATGGCAACTACCAAAGCACCATTTCGATTACAATCAGTAATTTTGTATTGGAAAATTACCTCTTATTACTTCTGCCATCATTCTTCTAAAACCACTATTATCTTTCTACGTTATGACATTGAATTCTTCATTTTATCCTAAAATATTTCCACTTAGGTTATGGACATGCATCCTGTTCAGAATTTTGAAGAGATGTAACATTCCCATGGTGGCAATAGGAACGGTAAGAAATTTATCAATTGCCTCTCCTTGAATCTTCATATAAAGAAAGCTTATACGATTTAGTAGACCTAACATTTTTTATTCTCCAAACAGTTTCCAACTGGTCTGGCTCTAGCAATCGAGAAAAAGAGCAGAAGAATAGAGATATCCTTGTACTGTCTTGCACGAGCAATCGAGAGCTTTTTTACGTGCATTGCCGACACAGGACACTTGCCTCATTCTAAACGTTTTAAAAGAGCTGATGTTGTGGTGTTCAGCATATCAACTGCAATAATAATGCACTGTTATGCAATGGAGCGTGACGTGTTCCGTTCAAAGTACCTAAATGTTCTCGACTGGGTGTTTGGTGTTCCTCTCTCTCCGTATGTGGCCACCCCACGTAAGAACCAAAGGCAAAACAGTGCCGATTTTTAAGGGTCGTTCACTCATCGACTCTTAATTTGTTGGGCATGTCTGTTTGAGGATTGTATGTGCCCTTTATTGTCAGGGGTTGGATTATATGAAATTGCCTCTCTCAACAGGTTGTACAAGGTTTTTAGTTTTAAGGAAACATATCATAGATTCTTCATTGCTTTGTGGATTATTTCGTTTTGCCCATATATATTTGTTTGTTTATTTGTTCGTTTGTTTGGTTTGTACTGACTTCAGAATGCGGCTAAAAAATTTTCCCAGGTCTCTGAAGTTTTATTTTTGCCTATTTCATCAGTTTGTTAGATAAATCATTCCCGTGTTGTATGAAAAGGTAGAATGATTTGAAAAAAGAACAAAAAAGAAATGGGAAAAATAAAAAGAAAACTACAGCTCGTTCACGGGGTGCAGATGACGAATAAGAATCTTGGACGCCGCTTTGGCAAAGGTTTGTAATGGTATATTACTCGACATGTAACTGTAACAATTAATTTTAATTGGGTGTATTTGTGACGTAGGGGAGCGTACGAATGAGAATGATAAAATGAGATTCAATCTCGTGAACACGATAAATACTAACAATTCATAATTCAAATTCAACATGATAAAATGAGATTCAATCTCGTGAACACGATAAATACTAACAATTCATAATTCAAATTCAACAGAAGAACACAAGAGAAGAAGTTTAAAGACTCTTAAACTCTACGGGCCACGTCGCGAGGTCGACAGCTTGGCCGATAGTCGCTGGGAGGCTAGCTTTCGAGTGAAGATCCTGGAGTTCTTCGAACCATGGCTGGCCAAGTCGCGACCGCCCCGGCTGGCCAAGTCGCGGTTCATTTGTTTGTCCCGAACCATGGCATGGACCATGGAGAGTTAGACGTATGTCCCCGACCTCCGCGAACAGATCTGCAATCCGACTACCAATCGTCTCGAGCCGACGACCAAACCCCTCGGTCCGGCGGCTCAGGTTGTAGATGGCGGCGACACGCTTATCGTCTGCAGTATCTTGTCTTCCGGCAGCATCGTGAATCGTGTTGACTTCTGACACCAACTGATGTAGGGAAGCTTACGAGTGGGATGAATAAAACAAGATTCAATCTCGTGAACACAATAAACACAATCAATTCTTAATTCAGATTCAACTTAAGAACACAAAAGAGGAGGAGTCCTTTAGATAAGGCTCCTAAACCCTACTCTTAACTTGTTCAAGAAGACAAGATCTCTTACTAAATATTCTAATGTCAATAATAAGAATAATGATTATTCTCTTACTAATTAAATATTAAACATAAAAAGAATAATAATAAAAGAATATAAAAATAATATATATATCCTAAATAACTGATGCTAGACAATATCTCGTTTTCGTCAATTGGTTTGAATTTTTTAAATATTTTTTAAAATTTTAGAAATTCTAGTTTATTTAACTTTAGAATTTTTAAGACTTTTAAAAATTTCAAGATATTCATTTGAGATTTTAAAATATCTTATAAATATTTAGCTTATAAAAATTCCATATACAAAATTCTCACTTCAAATTTCATTTTTAGACTTTTCAAATTTCATTTATTTCATAGGATTCCTCGTAAAAAAATCTTTAGTAAGTCTCAAATTTAAAAGTCTCCAAAATCAGTCAAATTTCCTGATGAATTTAATATATGAATAGTTGTCTGACCAATCTTTCCACACGTTCAATCATAGATATGCCGTGATACATGCATGCATTGGGCTAATTTATAATTTTGATCCCTTTATTTTTTAAAGAACGTTCATATTTAAAAATTTTATGTTGCTAATTTGTAATTTTGATCCATTTCTTTTGTTTTTTAAAATTGACTAGTACAATATCCGTATATTACACGGGTGTAGAATTAGAAATTTTTGAAATTTTATATATAGAGAGGATGTTTATATTTTGAAATTTTTGCAGTCAAAAGTATGTTTGCTGTATACTCTGACATTATCTAATTCGTTATTTCATCATTTCTTCTAATCATCAATAAAAACCGTGAGATCAACAAACGGACCCGTCAATTTTCGGTGTAGAGTAGGGCTAACAGGGTCGCAAAATCACAGAAACTAATACCATATAGTACTTAATTAAGTTTGAAAATGATGATAAAGTATAATAAAGTCTTAAAAACGTGTGATTTATGTTACTGAAGACTCCATATTTCAAAGTGGTGTGTAAGAAAGAATTTTAATTAAAATTTAAATAATCCCACCATCGGCGCTAACGAAGGCCACCAACAAAACCCGACAAATTATCTCCCATTACCTTTTTTCACATTATATATACCCACATACACTCCCCTTTTGTCCATACATCAATTTAATTAAACAAACATGACACCCTTTATCCTCCTCACAGCCTCAATCTTATTATGCTCCATCACACACCCGATCCGAGCCGCGGATCCAGACCAGACCCGGGTCCCACCATACTCATGCGACCCGACCCGTGACCCGTCCACTATATCCTACCCGTTCTGCAACCCGGGCCTGCCGGTGGAGACCAGGGCCCGGGACCTGGTGTCTCGGCTGACGCTGGACGAGAAAATATCTCAGCTGGTGAACAGGGCGGCCGCGATCCCACGGCTCGGCGTCCCGTACTACCAATGGTGGTCCGAGGCGCTGCATGGAGTTGCCATGGCCCGCGGAGTAGAGAATGGGGTCTCCTTCAATTGGACCATTCGGGCCGCCACTAGCTTCCCTCAGGTCATACTCACGGCAGCCACATTTGACGCCGATCTTTGGTACCGTATAGGCAAGGTTAGTTTCGTAATTAAACGTATAGTACTCAATCACGTGTGGATCTTGTCTGTTTATGTCAAGGGGGAGCCACCAATCCATTAATTTTGTAAAAAGATATAAAAATAAAAATTAATAAATAAATAAAAATGATACATTGGATAGGGTTTATTTGAATTTTTTCTAAGAGTCCGGCACTATTAGTATTACAACGTCTTGTGGTGGGTCATATTTTGGTCGAATAGGTCTGTGTCTTGGACAAGTTGCGCACTTCATGATTTGTTTAACAGGAAATAACTCACACTTTTGTGAACAAGTAAGATATTATTCCATCTGCAAATATTGACCAACTCACGTGAGTGAGTCACTCTTTCTCTACTTTAATGATTTGTATAAGTCAGGCTTAATTATTATCTAATCAAACTTATCTTACTATTGTGAGAGTATTAATCAATTAGGTGCGATTAACGACAAATTTACTGCAATTAGAATGCACAGCTAAATGATACTACCACAAGATGCAAGTACGTACAGTCTTATTTAAGTAACTGTCTTTTTTATTATACCCATGTAGAGAAACATGTTACACTTCAAATTAATTAATGCTATTACACTAAACAATAATTGATCTCTAACATTTTAATCCCCAAAGTAATAATAATAAAACAAGATAATATTTGAAGGTGATTGGGACAGAGGCTAGAGCCATATACAATACAGGTGAGGCAATAGGCATGACTTTTTGGACTCCCAACATCAACATTTTCCGAGACCCGAGATGGGGACGTGGACAAGAGACCCCCGGAGAAGACCCTATCCTCACCAGTAAATATGCCGTCTCTTTCGTTCGAGGGATTCAAGGCGACTCCATTCAAGGTGGACAGCTCAAAGACGGACGTCTTCTTGTCTCTGCATGCTGCAAGCATTTCACCGCCTACGATTTGGATAACTGGCAAGGGATCAACCGTTTTATATTCGACGCCAAAGTAAATTAACTAACTCACTAACTATATATATATATATATATACTATTATCTCAATAAACATCATAAAGTAAATATTTATTTATAATTATGGCGGCTTTTTTTCCTTTCCTTTGGTAGGTGACGAAGCAGGACATGGCTGACACGTTCCAACCGCCTTTCAAGAGCTGTGTGGAAGATGGACGAGCAAGCGGGATAATGTGCGCTTATAACAAGGTCAACGGTGTCCCTAATTGCGCCGATTATGATCTGCTCACTAAAACCGCCCGCAAGGACTGGGGATTCCAGGGGTATTCTCGTCAACTCCAAATTCATTATTCATCTTGTTCAACTTCTCGTATTAATTAATTACTTGAACACGTTGATGCAAAACGAACAGGTACATTACATCCGACTGCGACGCGGTCGGTCTCATTTACGACGTGCAAAAGTACGCAAATTCGCCCGAGGAAGCTGTGAAGGATGTGCTCAAGGCTGGTAATTAATTTAAGTCTTGTGTTGACTTAGGCTATGTTTGGTAATCACATAAGCTAGCTTACGGCTTATTTGGCTAGCTTATAAGTTTCCTGTATTTAAATAATCCTTGTTTGGTTAGACCAACTTTTTTAAAAAGCTCGAGTTTATCTCATAAGCTTCTTTAGGTAACTTTTAGCTTTTCAGCTATAAGTCATAAGGTATAAGCTATAAGCTCGAAAATCACTTATAAGCTATACGCCAACTTATCAGCTAACTTTACCAAACATGGCCTTAAATGTTGAAGCATCCATCTTCCTAACAAACCCCAATAAATAACTATATACAAACATGTACAGGCATGGATGTTGATTGCGGGCCTTACCTAGCCAACCACACGAAATCCGCCGTCGAGAAAGGGTTCGTTACTGAGCCAGACCTTGACCGGGCCCTTTACAACCTGTTCTCCGTCAGGATGCGACTCGGGCTTTTCAACGGGCCCCCAAACAAACTACCCTTCGGCAACCTAGCCCGCAACGACATTTGCACGCCCGAGCACCAAGAACTAGCCCTCGAGACCGCACGTCGTGGCATCGTTCTTCTCAAGAACTCACCTAACTCACTTCCCTTCTCCAAGTCCGAAATCAATTCCCTTCTAATAGTGGGCCCCAACGCAGATGCCCCCAAGACGCTCCTTGGGAACTACGCGGGCCCACCGTGCAAAACCATCACCCCGCTTCAGGGCCTCAAGAATTACAACGTGAAAAACACCGAGTTCCTGTCGGGATGCGACTTCGTAAACTGCACGTCGATTGATTATAAAAGTGTCGAGCTGGCGAGGTCGGCCGACCGTGTGGTTCTTGTGATGGGGCTCGACCAGGACAGCGAGAGCGAGGAGCACGACAGGGAGGATTTGTTGCTGCCGGGCAAGCAGCAGAGTCTTGTTATGAAGGTGGCCAAGGCCTCCAAAAACCCGATCGTGTTAGTCGTGTTGTGTGGTGGCCCGGTCGATATCTCTTTCGCCAAGAATGAGACCAAGATCGGGGCCATTTTGTGGGCCGGGTATCCGGGAGAGGCAGGAGGCAAGGCAATTGCCGAGATCATATTCGGCGACTACAATCCAGGTATATATATATAAGACGTGGTTCAAATGAGAACCAATTCTTAGTGTAAGAACCGTGAAAACTGCTATTTTTAATTGTGCATAGTGCAATGATTGATTGTGTTTGGTGCTATTCTTAACCAAGATGAAGTTTATTAAAAATAGCATAGTTTATATTAGCATTTATGAAAATGATAGCATCGTTTATATTAAAAATAACATCATACACAATTAAAAATAACATCAAATACGGTTCTCACAGTTTTCGCACGAGGAATAGTTTTTATTTGAACCAGCTAATTGTACATACAAAAGCCCTGTCTCAAACCATGCATGTTAAAATATGTCCTTTTTTTTTTTTTATTTATTTAGGTGGAAGGTTGCCTCTAACTTGGTACCAGCAAGATTTCGTCAAAACACCGATGACCGACATGAGAATGAGGTCCGATCCGTCATCCGGCTATCCGGGCCGAACCTACAGATTTCACACGGGTCCCACCGTTTTCGATTTTGGATATGGTCTAAGCTACTCAAACTACACGTACGAGTTTGTTTCGGTCAGCCAAACCAAGCTCCACCGGCCAGCATCTCAGAAGAACTCGAACTATGTCTTGATTTCGGACATAGGCAATAAATCGTGCGAAAAGGCAAAGTTGTCGGTTACGGTTAGAGTGGAAAATCAGGGGAAAATGGCGGGTACGCACCCGGTTTTGCTGTTCGTAAGGTCCAAACAAGGTGGAAGTGATGGAGTCCCAATCAAACAATTGGTCGGGTTTCAGCCAGTGAGCTTGGGCGCGAATCAGAAGGGTTCGGTCCAGTTCGAAGTGAACCCATGCGAGCAGCTTAGCTATGCTAATGCGGATGGGAATTTGGTGGTGGAGTCAGGGGCTCAGTACTTGGTTGTTGGAGATCAAGAATATCTTGTTAACATATAATTGCNGCAAATTGTTGTCATACGTTAAAATAAAAAGAAAACAACAAAATGTGTTTTTTTTTTTTTCTTTTTTATTCAGAAATGTTTTTGCTAGACTGGCAAATTGTTGTCATACGTTAAAATAAAAAGAAAACAACAAAATGTGTGAGAATTGGAATGCGTCAAATTAGTTTGGCGAATGATTTGAATTTCGATATCGTTTAAAAAAACATGTTTTGGAAATTTGTCCTAAATTTGATCATCCGGGTAATAACTACCATTTTACTGAATTTTATTATATTTTTTCTTTTATATGTTTATAGTCTATTCAAGTTTTTTGCAGCATTATTTTTAATTAATCAAACAAAAGATCTAAATTACATAATGAATGTGTCAAACATATTACAATTTTCAAATAATATAATAAAAGATTCCATGAAAATTTTGGTTGAAAACTCTTCATTATATTGTTCGAAATCTTTTTAGTTTGAAGAGGATTGGAAAATATGTATAGTAAAACTAAATTGAAATCTTTTACAAGAAAGAAGATTATTCTTTGTCATTATTTTTATAAACTTCTATGTCATTATTTTTATTGACTAAATATAACAATTATAGTTCGATTGACATCTATTGGCAAAAGCTTTTAAATATTATTCATATTATCTTCTGTGTCCGGTGACAAAGTTATCATATGCATTTTCTCACTTGATCTATTTAATTATAGTTTTTTTCATGAGTTATAAGTATATATTAAATTTGAATTTGTAAAATTTTAGTGTTTTTTTCATTCAAAATACTATTTTATTTTCATAAACCATTACAAACATATGATACAAAATCTCATTTAGATTTTAATAATCTTGCAAAACAGTTTAAACATGTTTAAATATTTTTTTTTCCAAAATTGTATATTATTTTTACTTAAGAAATAAATTGATTTAAGTTAAAAGATTCACATTATGTATAATGAGCGATAATTTTGGTTTCAGTTCACATTTAATGCTCAAAAAATTGTGATTGAAAAACTTGTTTGAAATATCAACCATTTAAATGTTTAGTGAACTACAAAAGATGAATAATCTTAAGTTCATAACTACAAAATCTTAAAATCTCCTCTAATGTACGATGTGGATGAAACATAATATTATAAATTTGGTGGAATTAAACATATATATATACATATATACATACATGAAAATGAGTGTTGATGATGTAAATATAAAATTTTCCCCTCACATTGTTATTTTTTCTTCAATTTTTTTATATATCATATGATATATCATGTTAGATGTAATTTCATTTAATTTATAATTTATCATAAAATTTATTTATTAAATACTTGTTTAGTTAAAATATTAGTTCACATAAGTTCTTGTATGAGACGGAATAACTATTAGGTGGATTGACACGTCATACATTTTTTACTATATATATATATCAAAAATTCTATAGAGCCATCGGATGGTTTTCTTATGGAGCCATCCACCACATAATGTATTGACACCTGTCCAATTTGTGTTTATTGCAGGACACGTGTCAATACAGTATTGGTGAATAAGTGTGGATGCCTCCATAAGTCGAGCTATCCGATGACTCCATAGCAAAACTGATATATATATATATATATATATATATAAGTGTTTTAGAAGTCGCTAGGCACTCGACCAGCGGTTAGCGCCTAGGCGGGGCTTAGTCGGCGCCTAAGCAAAGCCTAAAAATTAAGCTTAAATACATTATTTTTTATTTATTTTTACTAACTACAAAATAAAACTATATCAACTTATAATAAATCAACACACTTAAGTCCAAATAATAATATTAATATAAAGAAAACATGATAACAAAATAAAGTAATTAGAATTTAAAAAAAAAAATCCCGCGGAACCCGTTTAGGGGCGACAAGGTCCACCTAGGCGCCGCCAAGCCACCTGTCCGCCGAGACCGCCTAGGAGCGCCTAGGCGCCTGGCCGATTTATGCGAATCGAAGGTAGCTGGGCAGTGCCTAGGTCGATTTTTAGTATAGATACACACATACACACACACACACACACACACACACATATATATATATATATATTTATTTATGTATATAATAAAATTTTATACTTTTGTTCGTTGTTTTCAGGAGTATGGGAGTTCAATTGGAGTGTATACACAAAATTTGACCGCGCGTCGCAGCACGACAAATTAAAATTTATATTTTTCTTAACCAACCTCTACCAACTAGCAGTAGTGGCGCGCAAGTGTCGCTCCCACGAGGAGCGTGAATCAAATTGTAAATTTTCTCGTGGAGGAATTGAATTTAATAACTAAACTAATAAAAATTCTAAAGAAGCAAATAAAATCCAAACAATGAAAATAAAAATAAAAATTAAATAAATTAAGAGAACGTCTAGTCCACGGTCTCGTCTACACCCGCGACTGACTCATCTAATTAATTCTGGTATCAAACTTCGTCATCTTATGGAATTACTAGCTCTAACTAGCAACACGCTCTGCTACCCAAATTTTTCTTTACTGTTAATTGAACCGAGAGACACTCTTCGATTAAACCTAACTTATTGGACGGTCTAGAACACGCTCTCTGGATTTAATGCAATAGTTGCATCAGGATCTAGAAAAAAAATAGACTAGTCTAAGTAGTAAACACAATCGGCGCAGTTCACTTAATTATGTCGTGTTATCCCTGAAAGTTACCAACTTTCGGTTTTTACTTATGAATCAAATACAACAACAATTACGGATTGAAAGTTTAACTCTAGCTATAAAGATGAAAAGGCTAATCTAGGTATCAATCTAAATAAGACTAGACAAATCCAAATTAATCATTCAAAATAACATGCATAATTTAAAAAAAAAAATTATCAACCTCAAAAATTAATTAAACATTATCAAGTCGTAGAGTTTGGCTTCCCCGAAACTAAAAATAAAATATAATCTAACATAATAAATTAAATAAAAAAAGGAATATAATTATCCTCATCTCCTCGTGCGCGTGCAATCTCCCTCCGCGATCAACCGAATTCTTGGCATCACCTATTGCTCTGTTTCATTTCCTCTGTCTAAGGTTGGCGCTCCTCTGTTGCGTGAATAATTTTTCCGGTCTCGCGGCTACTCCCGGATTTTCATATGGTACCCTCAAGTGGCGTAAATTCCTTTTCTTTCCAAGTGCTCTCCAAATAATTAATTCCTTAACCTTCATTTTGGGCCCATCTCATAGTCCAGTAAATAGCTTTTGGGCCATGTGCTTTTCACCTAAATTGATCCATGGACTTGCAATATAATTTGGAACAAATTACCCGAGGGGTGAGCCCTTGAACTTTTCTTTCCAACAAGATGAGCATATTTATTGTTTTCCAACTATTAACTTAATTCCATTTTTATGTAAACATAATGGTTTCTATATCTTCTATACAATATTAACATATATATTAAAAAGGTTTATGTTTGCGCAAGATTAGGAAGAATAACGTGATTTTTGGTAAGTATGCTTAATTGTGTTCGAGCTGATGCAACAAACCCATAAAAATACCAAAAATATAAGTGTTTGTTATAGTTATTTTTATGTATTTTAGATGTAACTGAAAATATGACAAATACTCTCATTTATATTAAATTTAAATAGCCAGAATCCATATAACAAAACATGTTGCATACTTTTAGGTAAATTTCACAACCATTTAGACTGATAACTGCAACATTCGATTTATTTTATGCTTACTATTCCCATCAATGAAATATTTATTTATTTTTAGTTAATTTTGAGGTTGCATATAGTTATATTATCCAAATAATATGACGTTTTT